AGGTCGCCGAATGGACCAATCAGGAGCGAGAGTAGCTTCCTGGACGTTCCAGAATCCTCACGAGCTTTCTAGTTCCCGGGAAATGAAGAAATCCTTGCAACTAATGCGAATTTTTGGGAAAAAGTGCCTTTTCCCAACAATTAAATACAAGAGTTCACTTTATGACGGAATCCCCCAATTTTCATTAGCATTTTCCCACACGAACAACAACACACAACAAAAAGTCTAGCGTCCAGGAATTGAAAAATTCTGTTTCACGAAGAAAGTGCAAATAGGTAGCCCCATTTCATCAGACAAACTAGCAGATAACAAGAGAGCAATCAAGAATGTTACAACCTAACCTGCTTCTAGTCCATATGCAAACATCATATGAACATGTAAAACGATCGATGAACTGATATATACAATTTGGAGATGAGCAGTAAAGTCTGGAAACGAACAATATACCGTTTAAATGCTCACGTGCTAATAACGACACTTTGGAAGTAGTAGTGGTAAAATCTCTAGGTATCTAAATAACATCAGAAGGATGTGCAAAAAAGTTGTAATGCAAATAAGGCGGGTACATTTACGGCAATGAGTTGGACAATACAGAGAGTTAGGATCAGTGGGTGTGTTGGTATAGTGTTGGACGGAATCCTACCGATGTCGATGTAATGATCAACAGGAGGGAAACATTGTGTACTTCACGTAGCACAGTGGTTACCAATGTTCACGGATGCGCAAGAGATCCAAGTGAGTTGTGTTCACATTCGTGAACGGCCTCATTGTCTTGTCGGTCCGGGCGAAGACATTGTGTTGGATCATGCGCCATAGGCTAATGCCCGAGACGAAAATGGATATATGTGTATTGCTGTGTGTGCACACGTGATATTGACCACAGTCGCGTTGGCAAACTCTGACATGTTTGAAGCCACGACGGGCACAAGCACGTGTGAACAGGTCAGTAGTTGGTGGGTGTGGATCACAACAGCTTAGATCGGTAAATCGAACTGCCTTGCGGGGATATCTTCCAATAATTAACAAAGATAAAAAAGTCATCAATTGCATCCTCAGCCCAAAAGGGTCCCCATTTCAACCTTGTTCCTCAATTTCTATGGCTTCACAATGTTAAAAAACACCAAAAACGAGATCTATTGCAAACAATTACAAAAGTAAGTGTAGTAAGGCATTACTTACATGGTGACTGGATTATTTCATTGGATGATTGCAAGCCATAGGGTCCACGTAAAGCCTGTTTGCAGGTATGGTGAATAACGTTGGTTTCATTTTAACAACCGTTGCAGATGGTGATGTGGGTGAACTGTTTTTGAACCAACAAACATTTAACTCTTGTGAAGAGATTGTAAATCCAGAGTATTCATACTGAGTCTCGGTAGTTCGGAATATCAGCTCGTTGACAAAACATGAGAATATATCATATTGTAGGTAAAAGGCGTCCAATAAAGCACAATCCTTATTGTCCA